ACTACCTTGATATTTAATGATATTAAAGAATTATTGTTGAGTCTGTGTGTGAGAGAGAGAAGAGAGAAGAGAGGTGGTCGTATTGTATCTTTTTTGAAAGGAGTCTTTGTCTTTTAAAGATAGACGTTGACATATTTATAGTAGAAATGATACACTGCCTGGGATTTGCTTCAAAAGAATCTAGGATTATGGGCAGGGGGATGTATGGAGTGTTCTAGAGGTAACAAAACCAGCCATGAGTTGAGAATTGTTGAAGCTTGGTGATGAATACATGGGGGTTCATTATTGTGTTCTCTCTCAACGTATTTGTATGAGTTTTTAATATTTTATTATGGAAAAATTAGAAAGAATAAAAATCCAGCCACAGCTGCTCCATTAGAATGTCTCAAAACAAAACAAAAACCCCAGTAACAACTAATATTATTTTCTTACAATCAAGTTTACCACCCATCTTTTTTATATAAACTTTTTGTTGTGTATTAATTTTAGATTTACAGTGCAGTTGTTAGGATAGTACAGAGAGTTCTCGTATACCCCTCACCCAATTTCTCCCATTATTAATGTCTTATATTACCATACTACATTGGTAAAAACTAAGCAACCCACATTGGTACATTATTATTAATGAAACACCAGACTTTATTTGGATTTCACCAGTTTTTCCATTACAGTCCTCTTTCTGTTCCGGGATCTAATCCAGGGTACCACATTGCAGCTAACTGTTATGTCTCTCTTTGGTCTGTGACAGTTTCTCAGTCTTTCCTTATTTTTCGTGATCTTGACAGTCTTGAGTACTGGCCAGTATCCTGTAGAATGTCCCCCAATCTGAATTTGTCTGATGTTTTTCTTAAGATTAGACTGGGGTTATGAGTTTTTGGGAAGAGTACCACAGAGCTACTGTTGTCACATTACATCAGGGGGTGCTATCACCATGACATCACTGATATGTCAACCTTCATTGTCTCCACTGTGAAGTTAATATTTTTCCCTTTCCCTCCTCTGTTCTTTGGAAGCAAGTCACTAAGTTTAGCTCACCCTCGGGGGGTGGGGGGATGAAGTGTTAAGACTACCTTCAAGTTCAGTGATTCACTAGAAAAACTCAAGGACTCAGCATATGGTTGTACTGGTGGCTAAATTTTATTATGGCAAAAGGATACAAAACAGAATCATCAAAGGGAACAGGTGCATGGGGAGAAGTCTGGAGGAAACCAGGCAGAAGCTTCCAAGAGTCCTCTTCCAGTGGAGTCTCACAGGATGCACTTCATTCCCCAGCAGTGAGTTGTGAAGTGTCGTCTACTAGGGAAGTTCGCCTGAGCTTGGGAGCAGGCTTTTTATTGGGGATTGGTCAAGTAGGCCGTCTCTGCCTAGCATGTATCAAAATTCCAGACTCCCAGAAGGAAAGAGGTGTCTGATCATTTACAGGAAGTTTTGTACAGTCATGCACTGCATAACCACATTTTGGTCGACAATGGACCGCATATTTGATAGTGGTCCCATAAGATTAGTCCCATATAGTCTAGGTGTGTAGTAGGCTGTACCATCTAGGTTTGTGTATGTACTCTGTGATGTTCACACAGTGACCAAATCGCCTAAGGATGCGTTTCTCAGAGTGTGTCCCCGTTGTTAAGCGATGCATGACTATACCAGGGTGCGGAACCGTTTGCTGTCAAGTTCCCAGCCCACAGGCAAAGGCCAGCCTTGCAAGCAGGCTTTCCTAAGGATAGTAGTCTCAGGCCTTTGATGTTGACTCTTTTCTGCACAGGGAGGTATCTACATATTATTACCTTTAGCTCACATTTTTATTTGAGAAAAATGGAATCAGATTAAAAATATAGAGCGTAATAATAGAGGCTATATGGTAAGAATGAAAATAATGAAATTTAAAATCAAATCAAGGGTATCTGATTCCTTTCTTTGCCCTTACTGAATAAAATATTTAGCAATCTAGGCCTCTTTTATTGTTCTTTTAGTGTTTCTCATGCCCATTTTTAAACATTGCTATAAAAATATTACTCATTGCAACTTTTGAAGCATTTCATAATAAAAAAAATGCCTCCAGGTTGTGACCTCATTTATTGCCAAATAATTAGAAGAAGGCTGTGTAAATTTCAGTAATAAGTAATAACATAACAACCAAACCTGGGTGGAAATCCCAGAAAGTAATTACTAAGATTTAAGACACAATATGTACTAGTCACTTATTTTCTTTTAATAGGAAAAACGTGGTCTTCGAGAAATGCGAGTTCTTGAAAATTTGAAGAATATGATCCATGAAACAAATGAACATACACTTCCCAAATGTAGAGAAACAATGCAAGAAAACTTAAACCAAGTTCTCAAGAGATGTAAGCCATTGATTATTTTTATACTGCTTTATTTCAAATGAATGCTGTGCCAAAATGTGTTTCCTTAAGTGTTTTGGTGGGATGTGGAGAAGGGAATTCTTAACCAGAACATGTAAGAGGGAAGCCCTGTCACAGAGAAGGTGGTTATGTAGTGGTTAATGAGTGTTGCCATTGATGTTAAGAGCATTAATTTCCAAAGTGAGATGTGTGTTTCTGGGGTGTGCCAGGTAATCCTTTTAGAATGTGAGAAAATCAAAACAGTTTTTGCCTTTAAAAAAAAAAATTATCTATAAAGAAAAGTTTGATGACCTTCTGTTTCAAACAGGATACTAGTTTTTTAACTTTTTTCAAGAAATAATCCTGTTATAAATGTTTGTATCTTATCATTTTTTTCATGAAGCAAAATATTTTAATGTGAAGAGATAGTTGGTCGAAAAGAATAGTTATGAAAGATATCAAATCACAACATAAAATAAAAGTTTTATTAGTAACTGATTTTAAAACTAGAAGTATATTAGAAATTCATGGCTTCTCCTTGGATCTATATTGACACTATTCACCTTGTCCAAGGATAATGCTGGTAAATAATGATGGATTACTGAAGTGCAGAATAAAAAAATTTCTTTCTGGGGGAAAAAAAAATAAAACAAAACTGGCAAGTAATATATGGCCTGTGAAGGAAAGCAGCAGAGAGACTTTGATGAATGATTGAGTTAAATAAGTCTTTGTGTATAAGTCCAAGTTAGTTTTTTGTAGGCTAATGCTAAAAGGCAGTTGGAGAGGATAAATCCCCCAGGATCACATTTGGTTTCTTTGGGTGGCATAGCAAAAAGTCTAAAATTGACTTGAGGCTTTTGCATTTTACTACAAACCTGCCCTGTTCATGCTGCCAATTCCTTACCCTTGACAAACATTCTAGATATTATGCTAAAAGTAAAATCAAATTATTATTAATAAGAATACTTATGTATGCATTTGAGATATGCCTATAAATTTCCTTTTCTACACTTGGAGTATATAAAAATAAATTGGGTAAAACTTGGTAAAAATCTATGAATGGTTATTTTGACTTATTTCGTTCTTGAGCTAATGTTATTTCTGATGCGAGGACTAGCCTCTTAAACGTAGAGACTTCACAATGAAATAGAAAAGTATTCCTGGTAATATGGAATCCAGACTGTAAATGTATTCTCCTGAAAGAAAGAATTAAAACACATAAAATTTGAAGTTAATTAAGGTTTTAACACCTGTGGGCTACTTTGAGTCTTATTGTTAGCTTTAGAAACCAAGCAATGGCTTTTCGAGGTGTTTTCCTGCTTGAAGCAAGAAAGACTTCCTCAGTAGGCTCCAACATAAGTATTTTTTTTTAATTATTATCAGGAGTGTCACAGGTATAATGGAGATAATTATCTGCTTTTGTAAAGCCCGTGTAGTTTTAAGAATTCGCCTGGGCCTAGCTGTTGTTCCTGGGGAATTTCATGTTTAAAAACTTGACATTTTAAGTCATAGTGCTGGCTTGTTTATTTCCACTACTAGTTGATCAGGGAGTTGTGCAAAAGCATGCAAGCCAGTTTATATATAGAATATATTCTGATCTAAGTAATACTTTACAAAACTAGTGACTAGGTGAGTTTTGTTTTGTGCCTGTTATAGAACTGCCGCGGTTCTCTCTTGTGTGCGTGTTTGAGAGCTGTGCTGGTGGCGCAGTCAGCTGTGCACCTTCAGAGCTCTGCAGGTGTGGATCTTAAGCTATTGGTCTAACATGGAGCACAAAACTAAGTAACTGTGGAACAGGAGGTGGGGACATCTCGAGTTATTCAAATGGGGACTTATTACAGAATCCTCAGCTCCAAACTGTTTCTGCTTTTGGCTGTGTAGCCACCCACCTTGAAAGTGTCTTTGGATTGGGGGATCAGAGGCTTTAGAACTAAAACTTACCTGCGATTCCTTAAAAACCACAAAAAGTAAATGAGAGCTTTAGGAATGCACCTAAAAGGAACCCATCAAGACAGAGCCTTTACTTTTTTCTCATCCTGAAGATACTAGTAGTGTCTATGTTCTACTTATTAACTATTTAATAGACTTGTAGATTTCATCAAGTTTGTTGTCTGGAGATCTTGCCTTAGTATTGAGGACCCAATCAGTGATTTTAGAGAGTAAGGACAGAAAGCCTCTAAGTTATTTCTCCTTCAGAACGGCCACAATAAAGAATTTTTCTCTTCCTTCCTGCCTCCCTCTCTTTTTAAGAGCAGTGACTTTATTTTTTTGTTATTTAAACAAAGGACGTACGTTTAAATAATAAGAAAAAAGAAATGAAGGAAATAAGAAAGAGAGAAAAAGAAAGGGGTAAATCACTTTAGTAACCACCTAAAGAGAACCATTGCTTTTTCACTTTGGTGAACATCATTTCAGAGATCTTGTGTATATCCGAACAGAAGGATGGATGGAGGGATGATAGCTGAATGGTAGATGGGAAGGTGGGAGGGAGAGAAAGAACATTTGACAAGAAGATCATACAATTTTTAAGTTGAGACATTAATTTTAAATTTTATTTGAATTTAACAAAACAAAAACTTAAGTAAAGCTGAAAGAAATACCTTGTGTTTCTTACTATAAAAGATAGTAGTTACTAAAACATCATTCAAAGAAAAATAATTATAAAAGAAACACCCTGAAGTCAGAGTCACGTTGCTGTTGTTTCTGCATTGATTAATGCCATGAAAGATGGACCTGTTACACCTTCCCTCTTGTATCTCTTCCCCAAGCCCTCACTTTTGAATTTGCACTTTGTCAGGGTTTATATCTGTTCTTCAGATATAATGCTGCCACTTGTTAATTTAGTCTGAGGCTATTCAATTCCTTTCTGTTTCTGATTTATTTATTGGATCTGGAATGATGTTATAGTTCTCAGTTTGTTTCCTTAGTTCTGCAATCTCATTTTTCATTGTATGCTGTTTGTTTGATCTCTTTTCATAAATTCTCATTGTTATTTTGTATTATAAAATATCTATGGAGAATTTTATTATGGATGCTTTGTCTGTCTTACCTGTCTCTCACATATTATGTTCCTTTCTCCCCACCCCACCAAATCTGTTTCTCTACAAATTAAAGCATATTAGAGTTCTAAGAATTTTGTCAGCTCATTTTCTTTTTCTGACTTTTGGAGATGGAGTAGTTATGGTGGGGTTAGGAGTCTCAGTTCTTTACTAGAATCTGTGTTCCTATTCTTAGGAACTTTTCAAAGTTTATAGTTTACAATTATAATTCTTACTTGTTCAGTAAATGATGGAATTGTTTTACCTTTTTATATGTTTTGTGAGACATTTAGGGGATTAAGTTTGTCTGATTTTGCTTCATTCTATCTCTTTACCTAGAGATCTTTACGAACTCTTTATGATTTAAAATACTAATGTTTTATAGCACTTCAGTAGTTAGAATTTTTACCTGTATTTTCTTCATTGACTGTCATAATTACAAAATAAATATTTACTATCCTCCCTGTTTTATAGTTGAGGAAACTGAAATTTATAGTGGTTTGGCATCCATGGTTCTCCAATAATAATTGCAGGAACTATCATGCAAACCCAGTTTTCAGACTCCAAAGCTCAAGTTCTTTCAGCTTCAGGATGTTGTTTCTGTGCATCTTTGAAAAGGTCACCTTTTCTTCTGGGACGTCAGTTTCTCTTGGATTTTCTCCCACAACATCGGCTCCTCCTTCTCAGTCTACTTTGTTAGTTTCCACTTCTCTCCTTGGCTTTTAACATTGGGGTGCCCTAAGGCTTGGTTCTGGGATATCTTTTCTGTCGATGCTCACTCCTTGGTGATCTCGTAGAGAATCACAGCTTTAAACATCATCTGTATGCCAGTCATTAGTTCCACATTTATATTTTCACCCTGGACCTCTCCCGGGAATTCCAGACTTTTACATCCAACTGCCTAGTCCACTTAGATGTCTAATAAGCATCTCAGTGTAACATGTCCAGAACCAAGCTTGAATTCTTCCTTCAGTTCTGCTTTTATCTCGTTCTGTCCCATTTCAGTAATGGCATCACCATTCACCTGGCTGCTCAGGCTGAAAAATCTGATTTCCTATCTCTCTCTCCCTCAACATCTGTCTTTCTCTGGAATGCTCTCTCTCCATCTCCTCCACCTCCTTCCTTCCCTCTTTTACGCTTCCCTCTCTCTCCCCCTCTCTTCCCTTCCTTCCCTTCCCTTTCTCATTCTCTCCCTCTTCCTCCACTCACATGTATTGTATTAGGAAATCCTTTGGACTCAACTTTGAGAATGTAACCAGAATCTGATCACTTTTCGCACTTCACTAACTGCTCCCACCCTGGTCTGAGCCACTGTCATCTCTCACCTGGATTGTTCTGTAGCACCATAATGTATCTTTAAAATTCTCTCTTTCCTTCCTGTAGTGTGTTCTCCACGTTGGAACCTGAATGATCCTCATAAGATGTAACTTGGCCTTTGTCATTACTATATCAGAATCTCCTCATCTTGCTTAGAGTAGAAGCCAAAATCCTTAGAGTGGCCTGGACGTTTCTACGTGATGGCCCCCACTCTGATTTTTATTTCCTACAATTTTCCTTTTCCTTCACTTAGTTCTAGCTACACTGGCTTCCTTATTCTTCCTCCTGTGTGCTAAGTACATTCCCACCTCAGGGCCTTTGCACTTGCTGCTCCCTCTGGAATACTCTTTTCTCAGATTTCTGCACATTCTCCTTTCCTGTAGGTCTCTGCTCAAATGTCAACAGTGAGACCTTCCTTGGCCAATCTGTAACATTCTTCTTGCCTCATTTTGGCATTCTCTGGTCTCCCTGCCTTGCTTTGTTTTTTTCCATAGCATCCATCACCACCTAGACATGCTAAATATTTATCTCTGTGTTGTTTGTCTCCCAACTAAAATATAAGTTCCTTGAGCTCAGGGACTCTGGTTGTTCTCTGCAGTACCTCGACACCTACAACAGTGCCTGGCACATCGTAACCACTAAGTAATTATTTATTCATTGAAATGAATGAATGAGAATTCAGCCAACATTTGCTTCTAATACCAAACCAAAATTATTTTCTTATGTATGTGAAATTTATATATACATACCATGACAGAATGGATTTGTTTCTCTTTTATGTGAGGACAGTGGGGACATTGTTAACTGTTGTATGTGACACAATTACTGTATGTGGTACTAATCTCCTCAAATAATCTTTTGGTTGAGAGAAAATAATTTGATAAATTTTTAGCTGTTTAAAGTCAGCATGGTCTCCTAAAACACTGAGACAACAGGGAAAACTGCTTCCTACTGAATTAGTTGTAACCAGTGAGTGATGTGAAAGTGAGAGGATGGTCGGGATAAATGGGTCCTTTCCTCTTGAAGGCTCTCATTGTGAAGAAAAGGAATGTTTGGTATAGTCAAGTGATTTTCTTAGGCTTTAGAAAAGCAGATTTCATTAAATTTGGAAAGTAAACCTTTTTTATTGTGTGGCTAAAGAATTAAAAAGTAAATTACTTCAAAGGGACTGAAATTTCTAAAAATGGATATTCTGTCAAAGCACAGAGACAATCTTGATAAGGAACAAAAGTGTGCCTTTGTCAGATGTGTTCTAATTAAATTTTTAAAGGATATAACAAATGGCAAAATAAATGTCATAGTCCTATAACTCTTCTTTTAGATTAGGATCTGAAATGATCCCAGAATGATCTGAAAATGATGAAGCACCCAAAGACCACAAAATGGATTTTTTTTTTTAAGTTATGTTCAGAGCCAGAAAATAAAAAAAAAAAAAAACAGGAAATGATAGAACCAATGCTCAGGAAAGATGATGTAATATTAATGTGCCACATAAAGAAGGCAGATCTAATCAAATCCTATTTTGTTTTGTTTTCATCTTTTATGTTAGAACAAACAATGATTGGGAACCTATTTTTTAGTACTAAAATATTATCTTTGATATAACTAAAATGAATGGTACTGATAAAAACATGACTTTTTACAAGCAGAAACCTCCCCTTTACCATATTCTCACAGGGAGGGGCCTAACATTTTTCTGAAAGTGAATCACAGTCCCTGCCCTGTTGTGGAACTTCTGGCCTAGCTGGGGCCGGGTTGGGCAGGAGAGGGGGCATCACTGTACAACAGCTGGGGGACCTCTGCTCCAGCAGGTACAGGAGTGTGTAGTGGGATATGCACATTCCTGATGAAGGGCTTGGGAAAAGAGGATCCTTACAGGGAAAGGATTCGTCTGGGGAGGCTTTATGAAGGCAGTAAACTTTGAACTTGGCTTTTAAAACCAGTAAAACATCTTCTTTAGAGGAAAGGGATAAGAAAAGCACTTTCAGTAGGGATAGTGCAGTAAACAGAATAATAGTAACAGTAACATTTCTTGACTGCTTACTATGTGTGAAGAACTGCTCTAAGTGGCTTTTATTATTAATATTTAGATTATTTTTAAGCATAGTATCTATTGTGTCATCTCATCTAATTCTGTGTCAATTCTGAAGTCGTCTTACACTAAGGTGCTGAGAGATTCGGAGCAGCAACAGTAACAGCCCCTGGCACGTAGCAAATGCTCAGTAAATATATGACGAATGAATGAGTGAGTGAGTGAGCAAGCAAACACGCCCAGGATCACTTACGCAACTCCTCAATGCTCAGCTCTAGATCGGACTGACTAGGGCTGACTCTGCATGCTAGACAGTGAAGTAAGTGAAAACGTTTGTGTACAGAAATAAAATGGATCCAGTAAAGGAAGAAGTTTGAATAACTGATGGATTAAAACCAGTTTCATTGATGAAATCATAAGAGAGTAGTGTGTTGAGGGTAAGAGACAAGTCTTTAGAGTCAGAGATCTGATTTTAAATCCTGCTTTCTGTACTTATTAGTCGTATTACCTCCTTGAGTAACACGTCGCCTCTTTATGCCTCAATTTTTTACAGATGCCAAAAATCTAAGTGGGATAGTGATCCTCTCCTAAGTAGGAGAGCGGGAGTAAGAGGAGTAAGACGTGGAAAGTACTTAGCACAGGTCCTGGCACATAGAATACTCAATAAATAACTATAGTAATTATTACTAGCAGTTTTGATTCATTAGGAAGGGAAATGGCTCAGTGAAAACAGTCCAGAGAAATTTGAATCTGTAGGCAGCCAGGACGAATTGGAAGACGAGAGAGCAGAGGTGAGAAGAGTGGAAAGTTGTTGAAGCATCTAGATATCAAGTTCTGCCTGCAAGAGAGTCGTAGTAGGAATGAGGAAAAAAGGGGTAGGGGCTAGTGAGTCAGAGAGACACTCTAAGGGCATGGCCAGTCAGAATGTAATGATAAATTTATCGGGTGTTTTATATCTTTTTAGAGAATTCTGAGGTCATTTTTGACAACTTATTGGAATTAGTATTTAAATGCCCTTGGCTTGCAGCTCAAAGCTCAAGAATTCTAATGGTTCTAACTGTGACATCCTGAATATATTGGCAAAACTTCTTTTTTTCCCTTCTAGCCAACCACCATGACCAAAATAATATCAGGTTTTTTTGTATAGTTTTTTGAAATCTCAAACAATTCAAGTATTTTTTTTTCCCCAGGTAAGTCTCTCCTTGAACAAGGGCTGCTGATTGAAACCCATTGTCTGTTTTATTTCAGTGCAAGCAGCTACTGACTCAGTCTGTAGACTCCAACAGAGGGAGCAGGAACGAAAAAAGGTAAAAGTGGATCATTTGGATAATGGGGCCTATAACTCCAGGGCTTTTATTGTCATCATGTTATTAGCAGTTGCTTGTGATCAAAAAATTCTCTGAATTTGTTTTCTATGATAACAGTGATTTAAAAAGATTTAAAAATGGCTAATTCATTGAAGATGTGTTGAGGAGGTATGAGCACATGATTACACCATCCATATTTTTATAATGCAAATTGCAGGCCTCTTTTTTTCCTTTTCAACATTTCCATCTTTTCCCTGAAAGTGGTGTTTGTCTCATGGAGGAGAGAGAATAGGACTTTTACATGGAACAAAAAATACCCACCAGATTGGAGATATAAACCTTTCCTTTGAACCTGAAGCATTGAGTATATTATGTATATTTCTTCTAGAAAAGGAAGCATTCATGCCTGTGGATGGATTATTTAATGAATAGTCATAAGAGTATGTGAATCACTTGCTGGGTAGTGCTTTGCTTATTTGAATTATATCTTAACTAAATTCAGATGTGGAAAAACAGCGCAAGAATTTAAGTTCCAGTGATAATTTGGTGTATTCACTTAAAATTTTCGTGAAGTATTTTTATAACTTATTCATTGCTCTAAATTAATAAAGATACACTTATTTAGAAATATTGAAAATACTAAGTCACTCTTAAAATAATGCCTTTTTGCATGTGTGTATATCAACAAATATTACTATCTCCATTTCTCTGGAATGTGTTGTGGTTAATCCACGATAATAATTCAGATCTGCACTGTATAAAAATAGAATGGAATCAACCTTGCTAGAGTTAAAGTTTCTGTACCCTCTGCTCAACTCTAAATGTTGATATAAAGTTTAAAAATTCAGCAGTTTGGTGAATCAAGCCTACTGAAAGGACTTGACATTTAAGCCAGATGAGAAGGCTGCCCAAGAGGAGCAGGATCCCAGCAGGCCAGATCAGGAAGCAGGGCCATTGCTGAGCACATTGATAAAATGGCAAGGCACAGCCAGGGGCAGGAGAATCTGTGTCAGGGTGTAGTGCTTGCACAGTGTCCAGCGAGCACTGTGAAGGCAGGCGCAGGGGCTTAAGTGAGCCATACCAGGCTGCACAGCAGGTACTATTTTAGTTCTCTACTTTGCTAGGTGCCACTGGGATGAAAGATTTTAGTTTGTTAAGTTTAAGGCAATTTGTACACTCAGAAACTAAAAGTCTAGAAGAGGAGTCCCAAGCCACTAGCACTAACATAACGTAGGTAAAGTAAGAGCTGTGGTCAAGATACAAAGAACTTTGTAGGAGTGTGGCAAAAGGAGTCACGTATTAGGGAGATGGTGGCATTCAAGCCCAACCTTGATCTGTGAGCAGAAATTCAATTAATAGAAAATGGGAAGAAAGATATTGTAGGGTGAAGGATACAGTGTAAGCAAGGGCAAAAGATGTGAGAATAGTCTGATGGAGCTGCTGTGTAGCGTGTCTGAATGGGTAAGTCTGGAGAGGATCCTGGAGAATCTTGAATGCTGCATGAAACAATTTGTTGTTTTTTTTTTTTTTATAATTTTATTTATTTATTCCCCCCCCCCCAAAGCCCCAGTAGATAGTTGTACGTCATAGCTGCACATCCTTCTAGTTGCTGTTATGTGGGACGCAGCCTCAGCATGGCCGGAGAAGCGGTGCGTCGGTGCGCGCCCAGGATCCGAACCTGGGCCGCCAGCAGCGGAGCGTGTGCACTTAACCGCTAAGCCACGGGGCTGGCCCGAAACAATTTGTTGTTGAGGGCACCAGGAGCGTTTCTGTTTTTGAGCAGCGGAAAGACTATTTGATAGAACACTGGGTGTAACATATGCAATTCTCTTGGCTTTCAAAATAAAAATTAAAAAGAGATGTTCCATGCAGCATGTTGCCTTTCTAACACATTGCTGTGTGATTTAAGCTGATTCACGTCAATATACACTCACATTATTGGTTGGTCTTTCTAAGGACATTGTCAGAGCAGTTATGATTCTGATAAATGGCAATTCTTGTCATTCTTGAGCAGAACTAACCTAAAGTTAAGTTATAATTGGAATACTTCCTCTTGTCACTTGGAACTTTTTTCACATTTGGTGTGTTAACCGTATCTAAGTAGGAAAAGGACCAGATTAGGTCAAAAAATACCTAGTGTTTTCTATTGCTGATGGGTCCCTTTATTAGCTAGCTGTGTGCCCTTGGACAAGTCCTTGAGCTTCTAGCTCCTCATCTGCAAAATCAGTACCTGTTCTGCTTACCTGATAGATTGATGTTCTGCTTGTCTGATAAATAATATTATCTAATGTATGTGAAATGGCTTTGTAATTGTATAGCGCTCTCCAAATATAAGGCAGCATTTTTCCCTGCCAGCTTGGACTTTTGTTTAAGACACAGGTAATCACCCTGTGGCTAAGAGCCCTGCTGTGGTCTATTAGAGTTGGGGAAACACCTGAGAATCCTGCCCATTCATGGGTTTTTAAATTAAATGATACTGTTCCATGGTTTTAAAAGAAAATGGCCTCAAGAAATAATAAAGCCCTTAGAATGTTTTAGTCTTAAATATTTTTCTTTTTTTTTTTTTTGTGAGGAAGATCAGCCCTGTGCTAACATCTGCCAATCCTCCTCTTTTTTTGCTGAGGAAGACTGGCCCTGGGCTAACATCCGTGCCCATCTTCCTCCACTTTTTATATGGGATGCCGCCACAGCATGGCTTGCCAAGCGGTGCGTCAGTGCGCTCCCAGGATCCGAACCAGCGAACCCCAGGCCGCCACAGCGGAGCACTCGCACTTAACCACTTGCGCCACCGGGCCGGTCCCTTAAATATTTTTCTTATAGGTATTATGTCAGAAAATATTACTAAAGTATTTTTTTATGAAATACACATTAAAAATTAGTATTTTAGAATATACTGAAATGTTGTATGGAGTCTGTGAAACCTACATGCATAAGCAGCACCCTGGTTATTTTCTTTTCTCAAGATAATTTAATAAAATGAACCAAGTGAAAGTTATACAAAGATGTGTTTTCCAGACAGAGCTCAGAGAAAAGTAAAAATTCTTTATATTCTTCCAGGACAATAACCTTTAATCTTTATTTCTTTTTTAGTGCTTCTCTAGGTAGCAGAACATTTGAAATATGTATCTTTAAGGACTTTTTTTTTTTATTGCCCTATCTGGCTTTTTTCCGAAACGTTGATGAGTTTTCAGACTACATATACATAAAAGACATAGAGATAAAGTTTAATTTATCATCTAGCAAATATGTACAAAGCAAAATTGACCTCTAGCTGCATTTTACAATCTAATGTTAATTGTTGCCCCTGGTTATACTGTTGGCTACATTTTATGTATTTGAATCACTCTCAGAACAAAGAAAGATGGGAGTAGTAATAGAATAAAATAGACTATTGCTATTAATCATTAATTCTTTTATGTCAAGACAATTTGTGGAATTCTGTGGGAAGTAAATTATGATAAACATCATTCATTCAAATCACATTTCCCACAGTTGATATCTACAAGTACATTCAGAAGAACAATAAATGCACATTCCCCAGTTATTTGATATATGTCTTGAAAACTACCTGTTAATACAAAGTTGCATTTTGGGCACTAGCAATAAGAGTAGTGAAATGAAAACACAACTAGCTTATAAAATTCACTGGTTCTTAAAAATATGCCATCAAGGAAGATGAGCTGGTTAATATCTGTCAGTAGTTTAAACTTAGGTTTATGCACAAGGTCAACTTGTGAAGCCCCATTCAACCAGTCTAAAGATAATAATAAAGTAAACATGAATCCTTTGATTCATCTTGTCTGTAAATATTTATTAGATTTGTGTGATATGTTTTTCTTGAGAGCAGTGAGATAGCCTGGCTTATACATTGTTCTTCATAGAGTTTGAAAATGCAGAGTAATAGATCAGTACATACTCTTCTATGTGAAATCATTATTGATGGTTGTTATTCTGACACTTCTTACCAAAGTAAATACTTTTTCATTTGTCTGTGTTAGGCATATGTAAAATTAATGGCATGTGTATTACTGACAGATGTTCCAAAGGGCCTTTAAGACCTTAGTTGGCTTATTCAGTGTTTTCCCTTGGACCAGGGTTTCTCAACCTCTGCACTGTTGATATTTTGGACCAGATAATTCTTTGTTGGGGAGGCTGTGCTGTACTTTGTAGGATGTTGAGCAGCATCCTTGGCCTCTTACCCAGATGCTAGTAGCACCTTCCCCTAACCTGTGTTGTGATAAACAAAAATCTGGGGGACAGGAGCGTCCAAATCACCCCCTTGTTGAGAATCACTGACTTAAACTAATACATGTGAAAATGTTTTTTATTGTGTATCCCAGAGTTCATTTATAGACGTAGTCCTAGACATGGTTTGACTTCAGGACTGGCTTCTCTTTAAATTTATCTCTAATGGGATATATGTAAGTCAGTGTATTGTTACTATTTCTCTCTCTGTTGTAGAAAGAGACAAAACCATTACAACTAATTACTTTTGGCCCACAGTTACAGCTTGTTAATGAACTTTCTCTTCATGTTCTTCATATTCAAGTGTGTAGGTCTGTGGCATTAAGTACATTCACATTGTTCTGCAGCCATCCCCACCATCCATCTCTAGAACTTTTTTCCCAGTTGAGACTCTGTACCCATTAAACACTAACTCCCCATACCCTCCTCCCCTCACTCCTGGCAACCACCATTAAACTTTCTGTTTTTATAATTAGACTACTCTAGGTACCTCTTCCAAGTGAAATCATATAATATTTATCTTTCTGTGACTGGCTTATTTCTTTAATACAGTGTCTTTAAGATTCATCAACATTGTAGCGTGCGTCGGAGTTTTATTCTTTTTTAAGGTTGAATAATATTCCATTGTATGTATATTCTACATTTTGTGTATCCATTTATCTGTTGATGGATACTTGGGTTGCTTCCACCTTTAGGCTATTGTGAATACACTGCTATTAACTTGGGTGTACAAATATTTGTTCAGATTCTTGCTT